CATTGATATAGTTGTTTTTCCTTGTTTGAGTGTGTGTGTGTGTGTGTGTGTGTGTGTGTGTGTGTGTGTGTGTGTGTGTGTGTGTGTGTGTGGTCCTGCTCCTCTTCTGATGATTGTTGACAGTTGAAGGTGCTGCAGATGAAATCTTCTGGAGACGTATTTTAGTGTTGAGTGCAAATGATATATGTTTTCACACTTTCCTCGTTTATTATTGTGATGACAATCTTTTATTTTGACTGTTGGATTTACGTCAAATAAATCCTCTAAATCATTCTGATCAGCCGGGATGAGAGGAGAGGGGAGGTGTGAGTCTCGTGAACTAGTCCTTGAAGTGTTGGCTTGGACTGAAAGTGTTTTAGAATGAGAAAATAAGCTCTTCTGCAGCAGCAGGTGTTCCTGGTGAAGTTAGCTAGCCTTTAGCTTCTCTACCGAATGCTTAAACACAAACCGAAGACGGCGAATAACATTTAAAGATGACGGATCACAGAGGAAGAAAATGGACTTCATATTAATAAAAACATCTGTGTTTCATTCAATGTAGGAATCCTATAAAATAAGAAGAATAAAGAGTGAGGCCGACGTGAGATTAGACTTTTTTTTTATTATACTTTTTTTTATTAGCTTTATTAGCGCTGAGCGGAAGAGACAGAAATGAGAATTAAGACAGGAAATGTTAAGTCCATTTACAGAAGAATTTAATATAAAACAAGTGGAATAAAGAGATCACATGACCTCCAGAAAGAGCGAGAGAGAGAGAGGTATCACATATTGTTAGAGTCATTGTTACTTTTGGCCGAGTTGAGAGAGCTGTGGAAAGACAGAAAAAAAGTAAAAAATGGTGTACTGTCTCTTTAAGGTGTGTTGTGCTTCACAGGTGTGTGTTCTCACCTGTTTGATGAACTGACCAGCGTTGGAGAGTTCGCTGCAGCCGTAAACTACCTTCTTCCCCTGCTTGAACTGCAATAAAAACACACAAATGTAAAAGTACTGCCGCAGAACATGCAAAATATTATCGTTAAATACTTGTTGAGTTTGACGTCGTAACAGAAATACAGTTTTTGTTTCCATGTCATCACAAACACGGATTTAACGGCTATATATCAAACATCAAATAACAGTATGGACATTATATCTCCTCCTATTTACTTTAACATAATACATCTGACACATTTATAAGACAGTGAGTTATTTAAGTAGTTTCCAGTAGTACTAGCAGTAGAGATGTCCCGATACGATCACGTGATCGGGGATCGGAGCCGATCACGTGATTTTCAAAAGATCGGGAGAAAAAAATCGGGGATCTGGATTTTTTTGATTTTCTTATAAATACTTTTTTTTTTGTATTCAATGTTACAAAACAAAAATGACCATGTTCAAGTCTTAAAGTCATCCTGAGGCTTTAGTTTTGGTTTCAAATTACACAAAATCATGTATGTGTTGCTTCTTTGGGGCTTGTTTTCATAGACCTGCTTATTTCTCTCAAATCTGGCAACAGAGTGGGCAGGGCGCAGTGTCTAATTGTAGCAGTAAGCTAACGAGTACTGAAAGCTTTATTTTGTTTTGATCCAATGCTGCACAACTGAACTGATCCAATGCTGCTGTGAAAGAAAGAAGCTATATCCATGTTGGATAGAATATCCAATTTAAATTAAAAAATAACTTTAAGGGACAACTTGAATGCTTTTTTTTCTCTTAATGCATTGCATAAAGATCGGATCGGGAAAAATCGGTATCGGCAAATTGTCAAAATCAAATGATCGGAATCGGATCGGGAGCAAAAAAAGGTGATCGGGACATCCCTAACTAGCAGTATTACAATACCTTAGCGTAGTCCACCAGGTTCTGGTACTCGATGTAGTTTCCCCCTCCGACCACAAACACGATGGCCTGAAGGAAATGAAAAGCATCAGGGTTAGTCTGCTTCTGTCTGCAGGAAGACGTATACAATCTTTCTCATGGCTGAATAAATACAGAAACATTTTATAGCGGCCAAAATCATATAGAAATAAAACAGATAATTAACTTTAAAAAATACAGCC